TTGAATTATTGGCCAAATATCGTCCAAGTGTTGAAGCTCTAACCAAAGATATTATTACCTATTCAAAAGTTGAATTGAAAAATGACTGTCGTGATTGCGATTGTAATATTGGAAATTTGATAACTGATGCATTTGTCTATAATCGAGTACAAATGTATGATAGATCAGATGCCGCATGGACGGATGCTTCAATTGCTTTTATCAATGCTGGAGCAATTCGTAGTGGTGCTACAATTGGAAATCTTTCAAAATTCACACTTTCAACAATATTACCATTTGATGATAGATTGCATATTGTGCACATTCCTGGACGTGAAGTGAAAAAAACTTTAGAGCATACAATGAAAGGATTCGTACTTGGTGATTATACGCGAGGCTATTTGCAAATGTCTGGTGTGCGTGTCGTTTACAATCTGCAGAAAGAAGAAGGCCAACGTGTTCATTCTGTTGAAGTGTTGTGCGCCAACTGTACTGCACCGACATACGAACCACTTGATGAACAGAAAACCTATGGAGTTATTCTTAGTACATTCATATTTGAAGGGGGTGATAGTTTTTCTATGTTCAAAGTAAGTTTGGATCCTCGAAGATATTTTTCGTTTTTCTTTATTTATATCTCTTAATTATATCCAATGTCGAATCTCGTTTTTTAGTCGTATAATGCGGTCGATACGAAGATCAAAATGGCAGACGCAGTTATTAATTACATACGTCGCTTTGAATCGATCTATCCAGCAATCGAAGGACGAATTAGATTCATTGGAGTAAATGAGGTTATTGATAACGTATCTACCTCTGCATCGAATGTAGTGACACCATTTTCAGTTGTTATGCTGATTGCAACAACCCTGTTGCTTTTTGCAATTTTTTTTTATTCAATAATATCATAGTTAGGTAAAGATTCGAAGTATTAAACCAAAAATTATAATATAGAAGTGATTTTAGTACGAATTCAATGTTGTTGTTTCATTTGTTTTATTTTTAGTTTTTCAAAATTGTAAATTCTCAGGCTTTTTCCATTTTTTGCTCTTCACTTTTTTGACGAAAGTCCCTAGCAAATCAAAAGACAAAATGACACGTAAATTGTGTTAAAATGCATTCGTATTTGTTTGTGTTTTGACCAAAAATTCTAATAATTTTCAACTAAAATTTTTTTAGTGGTTATTTTTGTTGAATTACGATTTTTTGTTATCATCATTATGGAACTTTGCATTCATTAAGGAGCATAATTAAAGGAGTTTAATACTGTATAAGCTTCATCGCTGTCTCTGATTTCATCAGAGGCCGTGTGAGGTTCTAGTCTGTTCACACATCGCACATTCTTCATATAAACACATGGACACATCATGAGTTCGAAATTTTTTTTTGATGCGACGCATCCAAAAAGCGATAACGTTGTTAAAACGACTTACTTGTGACTTTTCCGTAGAAAAAAATGGTGTGCTTCTTATCAAAATTTAATTATAAATTGTATTTTCTGATTGCGCTTGGGTTTTTTTATTTTCATTATAATTCCAAGAAATGTGAATATGCAAAAAAATACTTAATTCTTACAATATACGAAAAATATAAAATGAAAACTAGATGACATCTAAAATAACGGTTACATTTTATTTTTTATGCTAATCAGTAAATTCGACATTTTCTTTATCAAGAATAAATTAAATTATAAAATCTTCGAACTGTACCCAAAATGTTCATTTGAGTTTCGTGCATCAAACAATCAATTATACTCTCCGTCTTTTCAAACTGAAAGTTATTTTATTTTCATTTGAACCATTTTAAATAGATATGAAGTGTGTCATTATTTTTTATTTTGTGGCCATTTATATTGGAGCCATTCCAGGTGAGAATCAATATTCATCCTTCGCATTTTCTTTTTCGATTATTTCCCATCGAAGATTTCATTTATCATTAAAAACATAATTATTAGACACTAATTTTGCGAATAATTTGCATTTTTTCCCTGTGAGTACTTGCAAAATACTCGCAAATTGTTACACGATTTTGTCCGGGTTCGTTTATATGTAAATTGATGTGGTGCCGCTTTGAATTTATTTGACAATCTTTTTGATAGTCGATTACTGATAGAGGCAAACATCCCATGTTAAATTACAAGAGAGTTATATGATCCAAACTGAATTGTTCTTGTTTTAATTACAGGTGGTGAAGCCAAACCTGGAGCAAAGTACGTATAATTTCAAATTTTAGAGCAGAAATTAAACTCAAATTTAATGAAAATTCACACATTGAACATATAATAGCAACATATTTTGTTTAAAATGAAGTTGCCGTTTTATTTTCAACGTGATCTCAGACATGTGCTTTCAAAACAATTTTCATATTTCTTTAGTGAATTGAAGAATTGCGGTAGAATAAAGCGTATACCACATGCCGTTGTATATTTTATTACTCAAACTGAAATCGGTGTAAACTGCAACGCAGGCTATCGATTTGAAAACAATCACACATCAGCGTCTTATGTCTGTAGTGATGACCAATGGATTTTGAGGGATTTTAATCCAACCGTTCCGAAAGCTTGTACACGTAAGGAAATTTCATTCCATATTTGTACGGTATACAGAGAAGCAATTCGATTGTTTCTTTTCCAATAATTTGTTCAACTTTTTCTGTAAATTTTAATGTACTAAAAAAAGTTTTTGTTCTTCGAATAATTTCAAATTATATAAAAAAAATTGAAAAAATTTGCAGCAATTTGTGATCCGCCTTGTGAAAATAATGGTATTTGTAATCGACCCGGTGAGTGTCTTTGTCCTAACAGCTTTACCGGATCACGATGTGAAATAGCATCAAAAACATGTGGTGATATACCGCAATCAACCAATACCTATTATAATACTGACGATGGTATCAGTTTGCGGTTCAATTGTGTTGAGGGGACTTTCTTTCAAGACGGCACATCGACATTGGAGATGTTTTGCAACGAAGATCCGCGAGAATGGCAACCACTTAATAAAAATGGAAATTTTTCAATCGATTGTAACACAATGTGCAACCTAAATGGTAAAAAATATCCAATTGGTAAAACAATTATTAAATCATGTAATACATGCACATGTAGATCAAACGGCAAGTTTAATTGCACCAGATTCATATGTCCAGCACACAGTCTTTTATACTATCACTAAATTTATCAATGTGACTGTAAATAAATTGATAAAAACACAATACTATAGTTCAATGACATTATTATATCAATTACTTTATCGATATCTTTTTCGAGATTTCAATTGAGACAGTAAATAAACAAGTTGAAAATATATCCACAAAGTCGATGTATTCATTAAATCGCCTATAATATTGATGTCAATGTGATAATGTCAGACAAATTTGAAAACATTCAATATATCACAGTTGCAGTGTAGAACACGTGCCTGAACTGCAAACGTAAGTAAGTTGTACACTCACGAGCTTTGGTCACATGAATCCACTTTTCACTACAAAAGAAGCTATTTTTAGATTCTGAACATAAATTGAATGAAACTGCATTGCATGGGAGCGGAAATTACAAAATTGAACGATTGAATCGAGCAGATTAACGCTTTAATTTATAATTCTTAGTCGAAATAAAAAAAAACTCACACATTTCCAAAGTGTTAGTAAGTTTACATCAAAATTAAAACGCTAAATAATAAAGCAACGTCGAAAACCCAGTGGAGAACACAAAACAATTAGTATGAACTCAGAATTTGATAGTGAAAAAACCGGCCAATAGGTGCCACTCTCTGTCTTTCTGTGTTTGAGCAAAAAAAAAGAAGACAAATCGGGCGTTTTTCCTTCTTCTTTTATTTCGAATTTAAATGAAAGCACTTGAAATTTTTCCAATGACAAATTGTTAGGACAACATCATAACTGACACAGATAACAGTAAATGGCAATAAATTCATGACACAGAATATATAAGTTGATTGCATTTTTGACAGAGTTAAATAAATACAATCAATTTAAAATATAACTTTGTATATAATCATGTGTCCAAAAATAGATAAGTTCAAATTCCATTGGTTCAATACATCGGGAACGAAAAATGAGGCACTTGTTACAGAAATCAATCGGGATATCGAAATAAAAAATATCAGTGCGCAGTAATTAATGACGTGAAATGAGTGCGCATGTATTCATTCTTCCATGTGCCCGTTATATAGTTCTTTTTTTTAATGATTTATCTAATGAACCTGTGTGGTTACTATATCTTGAGCGGCATTTAGTGTGATGATTTTATATTATTTCAACCCATTTTGATGTTCATACATACGAAACCAATTCCACTTGTTCTCTAATAAAATCAACGACGAAAAAACCCCCATATAGTTATCATCACAATCTAAATTGGATAAAAAAAGGCTTAAGCATTTCGCGCAACACACAACATTTTATTATTCGAAAAATAATAAAGTTCATGTGATTAGTTTTTACCTCTTTCGTTTGCTGTTGTACGATGGATTTTCTGCAGACTCATCATTTACGCTAAAGTGTGAGTGTATATGTATATTCTACTATTTTCCTTTCTTCTTCTCACTTCAAATCGTTCACATTTTATTGGCTGCTAATGAAGTCATATTTCTAATCATTACCATATGGTTGTGTAAATAAAAGCACGTTTATCAGTTACTTAAGCGCAGTTCATTGTTATACATATGTATAAATGAATGGCGCGAATGCACGTGAACGACACGTTAAAACGTTGGATAAAGAGAGGTCCAATAAATACTAAGTACTACTCAAGTTGTTTGTTCGTAATTGGTATTTGTTGCTCTCTGTTTCAAGTCTTTGGCATGTGCTTTTTTTAATTTTCTTTTAAATCTTTGCTTCGATATATATATGAATCATATACATATTTATATACATCTATAAAAATGGAAACGTGAATTTCAACACGATGGAATTTTTGACTCACTGATGTACGCAAAGCATTGTGCTCGAAAAATCTGGTTAATTCATGAATGTCAATTGGATTTAATTCCATCACTCAAGAACTACATGATTTTCGAATTGAGCTATGAGCCATATCATATGAGAGTTGAATAATAAAAAAAATGGTCGGCTGAAATGAAAATGATATTGATACAATGAACTCATGCAAGATGAGCTCATTATTCTATTTGACGGCTTGACATTTTTCCACAGCAAGTGTCCTTCAATTAGAATTTAATTTTTTTTTTAAATTTTTTTTTTTGTATATCAATAACTTCAAATGTTTAATCAATGCCCAGAATCATTTTGACTTTTGAAGAACACCAAACAGAATGGATGAAAGAGCCAAAATAAAGATATTTTAACAGGTGAAAAAGAGCCAGCAATGAAGAACAAAAAAAAGATGGCCTTTCGTGAAGAATACAAAATTTATGAAAACAACAAAAATCCCATGGTCATTGGATATACGCCGCGGTTATATTCCAGATCGAATGCATTGACGTAATAATGATGTAAATTTCACGATTATGTGGATAAACAAGAGGATTTTTTTGGTGTTCAAGTGTTTAATGATTTCGGAACGCTGTCTGTGTACCATAAGGAGCGTCCGCAGGGGAGAGCAGTGGGGGCGCTTGACCTCCTCCCCCATAGCCGAAAAAAAGAAAATGTCAACGTTTTTTAGAAGGAAAATGATTCCGATTTGCTGAGAACTTTCTACGCAAAAGTGATGATCTTTTTTTAGGTCTTCACTTTTAATTTTTCACATTTTTCTTGAAAATGGTCCCCTGTCTTGACGAGGTCTGAGGATGTCCCTGTAGATATGCTGGCCATGTTGTTTTTTTTTCATATAGATTCCGATTCAATTGCGTAAGAATGTGTAAGAAAGGTATTTTTAAAACAAAATTCAATGTGTTGTACAATTAAGTGACATAACATTAGATTATATACATTTGGTTGAGGGTTGGATGTGGTGACATTTCCGAGAACAACGACTATCTATTCGCAAATCAAGCGAATTTGCCAAACAATTTTACCTAATAGGTCTCAATAACTGTCATTTATATTTACCGGTTTTTTCTCGCTCTCTCTTTCTCTCTTCTTGTGCTTTCAAAATCATAACATTTTATATTATTATGTGAACTTGATTGATTGCTGTAACAATTTAATTAGAACCAATGGAATACAAAACGCCTCGAAAATTGGCTATACCAAATAACCTTGCTACTTTTATCAACTGTTGTAGACATTATTGTTGTTATTGTTCGATCTAGTTTTTGTTGTACAATGTCAAAGTCAACATTAGATTTCGGGAGTATAATGCACCACAGGTGAATAGCAAGTAAATTGTGATTCTCATCATTGTTCTACTTATAACACCGACTTAAATTCAATACAAACAACAAAGCAATTATTATACATTGTCGTTTGATCGTTCCATGTGATCAGACATGGACTGAATAAGCGACCAAAATAAATTACACGTGAAAAAAAGTCGCAGTGACTTAGAATGAAAGAGATATTGTTGTAATTATACCTAATTCACGACGTTTTTAAATTAATTCTCATAAAAATTAATTACTGAATTGCAGTAAACAATGTACCTGTTGTAATTTTCAATTTTGTTTTCTGTTTTTCAAGCGGCCCCATTCGAATAAATGACAATGCAGACGAAAGCAACCGAAAGAGCAACGACAGAGGTGACGGCGACAACAGCATTGATTTTATCATGCTGACTCAGTTAAAAAAAAATTGTCGAATAATAACATCGAAAAAATGTTCTGACTTAATCCTTCAAGTGGAATTCCATGCTCTTATCGCAGTTTTGAATAAGCCCTAAGTGTGATTTTCGCGACAAATTCACTAAACCAGTTTCCACTCAATGTGCCGATCGTCTGGCTTCACTTTTGAGCAACATTCATTTAAATCGGAAGCTTCAATTGACTTTTGTTACCTACCTTACAATGTCTCACCGAGTGTAATTAAATGTTATATACATATACGCAATGAAGCATCTGATTTATATTATCTTTGCTGAAAAAAAAAACGGTATTTGAACCAATCCATCATTTGTCTTGATTTTATTCAGAGTATCGTGTAAATAAATCGATGAAATGTTCGACTTTTATAACAAGTCAATTGTCACGCGAGATAAGATAACTAAACAATTTTCAGATCTAACCAGCAATCACACAGAAATTATGCTCCATAAGAGACTGTATAAAATGCAAAACTGTAGCACTGCTAGCGCCACTACGGACAACTATGGAGTTCTAGTCTGTTGGTTGCAACTGAGCAAAAGTCTTTTCACTATTTGGCGGCAACTTAGTGTAGATTACATTGAATTCCGTCGTGGCGCTAACAGTGTGACATTTTAGGCATAATTTCGGTACGCCAGCAATTGATAGGGTTTTTATTGCCAATTCGATGAATCTCGGTTTGATGTGATATTGATTTTAAATCGTCGATTGTTTCCTATAAATCTTTAAAACAAATAATAGAAACCATAAAGTATGAAGCTTTACATTGTGTCACCATGTGTCCTGATCAACTGTTTGTTGTATGAGTAACCGTCATTGTATTTCGTGCAAAACCTTCGTTTCTATTTACTTAAACAACTAATTGCCATCCATTAAAGTCTAATAAATGGTGAACAACGCAGCTTACACATGCTTCCGATAATGGTATGAAAACCGATAAACCCATACATCATGCTTAAGTTCATTTCAACATGTCTGTCAAACCATTTTTTTTCGAACACTATTTTCTATCTTCAAGTAAGAATGCGCACAATCTTATCGGTGAGATATTGATACGTTTGAAATACGAATGACAAATTTTGGTTAATTAAGCAGCGCGCGTGTAATTGGCATTCGTACATTTTTTTTCGTATCACAAAACTTTAATCATGAAACTCGTGCCTATGCATAATTATGAACCAGGTGGACGGAACACATTTTTTGATTCAACTTATCAATTTTACACATACCATAAACTCCAATTCGATCTAGACGTTTTATCAATGAAAAAGGTTACTATTGAATAAATGCTTTATTTCAAATGTTGTCAGTGCTGTGAATTTATCAGAAAATTACCAAATAGATCCTACTTGAAACACGTGCAAATCATCTTGATTATGTCGGGGTCCGGTTATATCAATGTCTTCCGAAAGTAACACATGCACTTATTAAAAGGTGATGATAAATGTCATCATAGATTCTGGACTTGACAATTTAAGGGAGGGAGTAAGGATCGAGTACTATCTGTCAAAATATTTCCCCCAATGCCAAGCGAAATTAATTCGATATACGGCGCTGATGTAAATGTCACTCTGTCATTTCACAATAATACTTTCTTTGGCTTGACAATAATAAGCTCTTCATTTAAAATGCATACACATTCATAATTATTGAATCGTTGAAAAAAAAATTAATTTGTTTATAAATTACAATAATTTCAAAAAAAAATGTTTCATCGATTAAATAAGAATCCAATGTAAATAGTAATGACAATGCGACACCTACCGTAAAAATACAAAAAGAAACGTAGTTGATCTCCATTGTAGTATTTTAGTCCGCCATGACAGCATCTTCGTTTTACTTGACCAATCACAGAGAAGCAAAACGAAGATGCTGTTATGGCGGACCAAAATGTTAAAATTCCAAATAAGTTTCCTTTTCCATTTTTACGGTAGGTGTCGCATTGGTATTACTTTTTACATTAGATTCTTGTTCAATCTATGAAAAAAAATTGAAATTATTGTTATTTTTAAACAAATAAATTTAAAATATAGAGAATTTTTATGAAAAACGTAAGAAGAATATTCTATGATATGTTTCTTTTTTTTACTCGACCGTTCAAAAATTATGCATGTTGAATGAAGAGCTTATATATTGTCAAGCCAAAAAATGTATTATTGTGGAATGACATAGAGTGACATTTACATCAGCGCCGTATATCGGATTAATTTCACTTAGCAAAGGGGGAAACGTCGTACTCGGTCCTTTGGGAAAATCTGAAGGGGGTATTTTGAAAGTCCATTCTATCCAGTGTAAATTTGTTTTTAAATCTTTTCATGTTGAAAAATTCGTAGGGGATATCACTTCGTCAGGAGGGGGTATTTTGTACCCTGGACCCCCTGGTCAGAATCTATGAATGTCATCCATATATATGAACCGGCCAGAATATTCGTGAGCTCAGGAAATTTGTTAAGGTAACCGATTCGTATATTGATATCAATCTAAATTAAGACAATCACTGTAATGCGTAGTTTTAAAAAAAGTTGAAAAACAAATGGCGTCTAATTCAATTTATTTGAGTAAATAAATTGTAAATCTTCAATAAAAACGAAATTAAATGTCAAAACGACCCAATCAATGAAAACAAATGCTGACTCTAATCGATTGACAGAACACTTTAAAATCCAATAATCAACTACTATGAAACGACCAAACAAATTTAAATTGATACATATTATCCATGTAATTCATGTTCATTTTCTGTCATTAATTTGCAATTCATATTATTACTGGTGTAATAACACGTTGACCACTCTTCGATTTTATAAAAAAAAATTACCTTCAATTAACCGATCCAAATTGTTATTTACATTAAGCAAAAAAAAATACGCAAAATTGGTTTGAAATAATGATTTTTGTACTTTGTGTTCCGTCTTTAAACAAGACCAACATTTTGAAAAGAAAACCAATATTTCCCTTATTTTGAAATGTGTCAGTTACAGTCCTTTAATATGTAGATAAATCGTGCAAAAATTCATTTGAATCGACGCCAACTTTGGCAAGTGTAGTTCCCAACTTTTACAGCAGCAGTGTTGATCTAAAATTAAAGGGTACTGAGATGTGCATGAAAAATTTGGCAGCAAAAATCAGATATTATTTCAACATACCTCCATATAAAACTCAATGTTATTGACACCCAGTACATCGCTACCATCGAGTCATTTTTTTAATTTTTTGATCCTTTAAAAAGGCGTAGAAATTAAAATAAGTCCCAAATCGATCATGGAATTTTTGCTTTAAATTTCCGAAGACCGAACAATTGAGTCCGAAGATTAAATATTGTTTCTATCAAATATCCACGAATATAAAATTGTTGAGAATTGGTTGAATTTGATCCGTTTCCGAGTTCACGATAAATACTCTTAGTCAGTCGATCCTCATGTGATCGATTCCATTTTTCGGGATAATTATATTTCAAAATGAAACGAATGGCGTGTATTTAATACTGTTGGACAATTAATTCCTTTTTATTGTGCGTCAATTAATTTTTTTATATCGCGATATAGGTGTGCTTGACACCTGTTTTTCCCCTCTGCATGTTTACTTTCAAACAATCATAAAGTGATAATAAGAAAGGAATTTTTCTTTAGAAAAATTGTCGATACATAAAAGTTCTTCTATTATCGCAATAACGTTATAGTTGAACATTCTTGCGTTCTCATGTTATCGAATTCTTTTCGTGTCAAATGAAAAAAAATCTATCACTCAATATGCAATATCATAAAAGTAATTGTAAATAAGTACCATACGCATTGCACCGTGTGAATGTTCTTTACAATTTTTACAGCTAACTATAAGCCTTCAGGTTGATTTCTGTCCCCCCATTGATTTAACTGGTTGAATGCAGTACAAAAACTATAGACATTGTTTCATCTGTTGTCATCTAGGTGTGTATTCTTTTACTCATTCGATTACAACTGTTTGCCAGAATAAAAATGCAATGATATTTCTTCCTCTGTTTTTTTCTGAGGTGTCTCTGACGTATACAAACGTCTATGAAAGGTTTTGCGTGCAAGAAAAAAAAAGAATCAGAGAGACGGATCGGTAATACTCAAATCAAATGAACAATTATTTGCACAACCGTGCACCGCGTTTAATTTTCTGAGAAATTAAAAACAAATGTTGCCATCATGGCTATAAATAAAAGAAAAGTAGTAAATTATAGAATGCGCCAAAAAAAGAAAGTGAAACATTTAAATGAGTGTACAAGAAAGGAATTTTTCGTGATTTAATGCAACGAAAGAAAGAAAAAAACTCTATGAGAAGGTGTGAGAGCATCAAAACACATTACCTGAAATATATACATATACAATGAGAGATTGTGCAATGGACATTCTTGCGTTCGCATGCATTTGTTGTGTATTGTCAAACGTTTGCCGAGCAACAAAACACGTGTAGTTGCAACAAAACTACCGTTCGATTGTTGTTTTTTTCTTCTTCTTTTCGTTACTTTCTATCTAAAAAGTTAGAAACTGCAGTCAATCGTGTGTGTGTTGTCGTTTCTGTTAATAGAGTATTTATTACGGTTTAATGTTACATACAACGATGAAGCGTATAAATATTTGATTGAAAAACGGTTTGATTTCATTTGAGTGAAACAGAGAGAAAAGACAAGGAAGAGGGATAGAGAGAGAGAGAGAGCTAGACCCAAATACGAGTTTGACAAAACAAAACGCCAACATGCTGTCGAATGCGAATAGGAAGAAAACGAGAGAATGAAAATATCAAGAAGAAATGTATAATTCATATCGTGCGTATCAATGTGAATCTTCTGATAGCATTCCACCACACACAGCTCTACAGTGTGATTATGTCTCTGTGTCTCTCTCTGTCTCTCTTTTACTCTGTACATCGGGAAGTGTATGTTCTGTCATTCGTCAAGTTTCGTTCTATCTCAATCATGCAATACAAGCATGCGACAGAAGCGCATAGCATAGAGCCACCAGTCACGCAAACACCCATAGCCACTGGCAAAACAATCATACAACAGCAGATAGTCAGCCTGTCATACAGCACACAAAATACTTGACAATTTGGATGGATGATATTGTTGTTGTCGGTTGTTGTCGTTTGTGTGTTTTTGTTTATTGTTGTTGTTGTTGCTGCTGCTTTTTTTGCGCGTGTGTATGCGACTCGAGAGATGCACGAGATTATGGGTGTGTATATGTGTGTGGGTGAATATGGACTAGGCTGAATGTGTGCGAAACGAAAAAGAAAAATATAAATAAATGTGTTGTTACCTGTTGTATGTGACTCGCAACAGTTAACTATTAGTTGATCGTCAAATTTTGTGTAATAAAGCCGGTCAGTGCATCGAATCCAAAAGTTAGATCTGCTCAACAATTTTTGGAAGAAAAAAAACAACGTCCGAATTATTGAATTTTTTTTATAATTTTTTTCTGTGTTACATTTGAATTCATTTTTTCGATCGGTAGTAACAAGAAGCATACATCATTTCACAAATCTAAATTGATTTTGTTTCAAATTGCAATCGTTTCGCTTGAATTGTTCGTTATTTTTTTTTTTGTATCGTGTTTTAAATTCAATTTTTTTTCTTCAAAATTAAATCGTTTTGAAATATGAGCGATGTCTTTAATAAATTGAATTTTCAACGAAAACACGTTCTACATTTTTCCTGACGTCGTTCCTGAGTTTTTCTTTGATCGCGTGTGTGTGTGTGTTTGTGTGCGCGCGCGTCATTTCAGCTCATTTTGTGTGTGACACTTGAACGTAAGTCGTGTGAATTTTTTTGTTCACTCTAATTAAAATATAGAGAGAAAGGCGACCAAAAGACACACAAAAAAAAACAGAATTCACATAGAAAACATACACACAACAAATATTCGAAAGAAGAAGAAATCTCTCTAAGCAAATTCTCAATTGTTTGCTACCACTGAAACGCACTCGTGAGCGCACTGCAATTTAAAAATAAAATCAATGAAATTTCCGCCGAAACATTGTAACCGAAACATAGAAAAATAACGACAAAAAGAACGAAGAAATAGAGAAATAAAAAAAACAACATATAACAAAACCAACTCTCGCTCTCCCGCTCTCGTTCACATCATTGAAGTAAGAAAATTGCGCGCACAGACTCTATATCAATAAATCACATTACATCGAATTGAGCACCGAGTGACACCAAACCAGGAAATAATTTCACAACCAAAATTATAACCACAAAAGTAAGTTTGTTCACATTTTTTTTTCTCATTGGTTTTCATTTATTTTTCAGTTTCATTAAATTCTTATCAACAAATTATTGAATAAAATCAACGTTTATCAATGAAGATAATAAATGATTCAAAGTTTTCCTTCGATATTTATCTTTATCATTTTACCTCAAAAAAAAGGTATGAAAATAATTAAAAAAAAAATTGGTGGTCGTTTGCAAAATTGTGTAATTTATCATTCGCGCGTGAAAAAAACTGGGCTATGAACGGTTCAAAGAAGTGATAAATAAAATGATCTATAGTGAATTTGTTGTTTGTGATTAAATCAAAATCGCCTTTAAGAGCTAATCGTTAATTAAATGCATCAATTAAGCAGCGCAAAATAAAAGTTCAATTAAAATCACATATTAGCGCCTTAAATGACTTCCCACTAAATCAACAATTCTCATAATCGTTGCGAATGAAATTTATTATTATTCTTTTAAATTTGCACAGTAATTAACGTTTTTTTTTCTTCTTTACATTATTTTATGAACAATTCACATAAATTTAGTTTGAGCAAAGAAAGTGCTAAACAAGTTGTTCTTGTTCACACATGCCATTGCAAAAGAAATAATTTTGCATATGATTCGGTTAAAATCAAGTTATGCACAAAATTTACGTTCATCAATCACGTGCGACGAAATTGTTTTTTTGATTCGAAATTTCTTACTTGGATTTGGCCACACATCCTATTTTTTTAACGCATGTGAACACTTGGACAGATTATAAATGAAACTTCTTATCATCAAAAACACTTGACGATTCAAAATTCCATTTCGTTTAAATTCTGTTGTTGTTGTTGTGTACGTATACAAGCCAGCACTTGTCCCGCGCAATGTCGTGCGATTCAAAAAAAAAAATCGACACATTATCATTATACAATAATCTGCTCTTTTTCTCTGTGTGTGCTGTTCTTCTCTCTCTGGTGATCGTATTTTTTTTTTTTGTTGTTCCCACTTAGATAGATCTGTGGCATAATGAAACGTGCTACCAATAAATTGTTTCTCGTGCAAACATGAATTCGATCGACAATTGTTGATTTGTGCGCTCGCGCCCTGTTGTCACACACGAACGGGTTTTGTGTGATTGGTAACTTTTATGTTTATTTACTTATTGATTTATAGATGATGTATTTACACGATTTCAATTCAACAAGAATTTTTATCACAGCTATATTTTTGTTGTTATTCGAATAATATGACAAATTGATAATTGAATATGGTCATTGCAGCGTAAAAAAACACAAACACACAACAACACCAGTCAAAAGAGACACGGCTGTGATAAGGAAGGAAAAATACAGACAGCGTGAATGTCAATGAAAATGTGTATACCTTCGTAGGCATGAAACACAAATGGCCCAAAGGAATGTGTCTGTGTGAATGGAGATTTTTAAAAATTGGCACGTTTGCCCATCGAAGAACTGACCATTTCCGATAATTTACATTTACTGTCATCCTACACTATGTAACATTCGGATATAGCCGAAGAAGTAAACGAGAGAAAAGGAAAAGAGGATACAAACAAAGAAACATTGTACAAGATGTCTGAGTCACAAATGTTTAAATATGTTTTATCTAATTGCAATCTTGTATATTTCACCCGAAGTGGAATCAATAGAAGCCGCCGTTTGAAAGAAATATGTGTGAAATGAGTCCCTTTTGTGTCGTATGTGTCAGGTTTGTTATTTCCGTTGCATTGGTTATGTTTGTTATTGTTGTTGCCCATAGTGTTTTCGTTTTGTTATTTCAATGGAATTCGAAATGCCGAAATTTCTTCTGAACTAGAAAGTCGGATTCTTTCCAATTCACTTCTCCTTTCGGCAACATTCAACGAAACAATGTCAATTCATAGAAAGTTTTGTGCGTACATGTGTCTCTCTCAGTGTGTGTGTGTGTGATGTGTTACGTGGAAATATTTACGAAATGCCAAAACGTAAGGAGTTTGTTAAGTATTTGAAAGTGAGCGATTCAAAGCGATATAATTCACAACACAAATTCAAGCACACAAATCGCTTGTCGACTCGTGAAGATTTCGAGATGCTTCATAAAGCCAAAAAAAAAAAAAAAAAAAAAAAAAAAAAAAACTACAAAACAATAAATAATATTTAGCAAACGTTGTATTCAGCATACGTCATATATAAACATGTCAATAAACATTGTACAAATGTAAATACAGAGAAGAAAAAAAAACGGCAGTAAGATCACAACCGTTGCCAATTTGAATGAATTTACATACTCATGGCATAAGCATACACTTTTTGTGTGACTTACTTTATGAACGAGTTTGTGTGTGTAGTGTTTTTGAACTAAAATTGCGGAATCGCCGCCAATGATAAATGTAAACATTTTTTATGTTACCAAGAAAACCACAATAATCCAAGTGCAAATTAATATATGGAGTCTGGTGTATTTTTAATTAGCGATTCGCGTAATAGTCGGCACATTTTTAAGCTACAATAATCATTGCAGTGATTTGAGTCCAAAATCTCGAAAACATCCGAAAGAAAATGGATATAAATATAGAATTCGGTTTTGGAAGAGCAATCAATGCCAAAATATCAATTATCGATCTTGCTAATTTACTCGTCAGAAATTGGTCGAACATGATTTGGCAAATGTTTCGATGGAAATGTTTGTCGGCCAATATGTCTGTCACTTATATTCGTTTTTTCCTCCGTCTCTTACTTACTTTCGTTTTGTTTTTCGAATAATCCGCAAAGATTCAAATTCATCACATACTCTTGTTGCGTTGAAAATCTCATCCTGATGAGATATTCCTTTGCCAAACATACGTTATGAAATCATAAATTTTTACTCAATAAATTTGTCGTTCGCTTGCCAACTGCTGTCAGTAACAAACACGTTCAAAACGATGAATAAAATAAAAAAATATTATACCGTCAAAGTTGTCTGTTGCTCTCAATCATCCTGAAATGTGCAACTCACAATTTTTTTAATTCATTTGAAATTGGTTGCAAAATTGCAGGCGACTATTTTGCGCATTAGAAAATGCATATGACGTTTGATTTTGATTCTTATGAGTATCAAGTAATGATCATTTTAATATCCATTTGATCTTAAACACAGGTATAAATAATAAACATTGATCACCTAATAAAATTGCATTAAGATACAATTAATGATGACGACAACAGCGGCGACAACAATAGAGAAAAAAAAATCAAACGAAAGAAAAAATATTTATATATAAAAATATACTAAACGATGCATCATGATTCTACCCTTTTTATTGTTTTAATGTTATGTTGTTGACAGTTGCATTTGCCACTCATTCTTAGAATCATATTTTAAATCAGATAGAAACAATTACAATAATGTACACACAAAAGACAAACACAACAACAACAACAAAAATCGCATAAAATCATCGGCATCAAATCACCGGCTAGTTTGAATTTTAGTCGCAATTGGCATTTGAAATGCGTACGAATGTGGAATAATTTGCTGAAAACGAAATTTAAAATGTGCATTTTTATGAGAGCGTAATATTTATGAATGAAAGGGAAACAAAACACGTTTATCAATCATTTTTAAAATGGAATTTAGTTTCTTTTCGCCGTTTTCCAAATTCCCAAGCTACACAATTATTTGCATAAATTCTTCATTTATGACGAAGTATTTCGCATGATGGCGAAAAAAAACTAGATCAAACTAACAGAAAGTAAGATTGGCTTGATATTTGAGCGATGAATCACTCGATTCAATGGCTCTTGAATTTTTTTTACTAGTTATGATTCAAGTAGCGAATTCTGTCACTTATCTTAAGTGGACATAAAATTGCAAATTTCACTGAATTTAAACATGAAAATGGAATTCAAATAAAAATTCGGTGTACATTTCTGGGTTAAGGGGTGTACCGGTGTCCATTGAGTTGATTGATTATTTTAAAAATCACAACAAATTTATTCGATTGAAACAAATGTTTGTACGCTTAAGCCTACGAGCCCCGAAACGAAATTCATGATTTATTCGTGTGTTGCTTCCTTCTGGCATCGCCGATTATTCTTCTTCTTTTTCTAATTTTCCTATGTGTGGTTTTTTTTCGTTGCTTTTATGCGACAAAAATGCATGCATGAACGAAGTCCATGAACGTGATCTCATTTGCAGCTATTGACTGCAATTTACGAACGATCAATGTGTATATATCGTATACGATTCACAGTTGCACATTTTTTTTTTCGACGTTGCTGTGTATTTTCTTTACATGAGACGCATATCTATCGATGAGACGTAGAGAAGAATATGTTTTTCAGACTTTTACGTTGCTTCGAGATTATCTATGACTACGAAATAATTGATTTTCGCGTTAATGATCTGAGATAAGATAGGCAATATAGGTATTGTTTTTATACATGGGTTATTTATTCGCTTTTTCTATAACATAGATAAAAAATCAATCAATTTAAGCACAAAAATCGACTAAAATAAATTTTGAAAACAAATTTCGCTCGAAATCGACCAGGTATAAGTACCGTGGAGGTTCGTTGTAAGTGCTGCTCGTCCTTGCCTTCAAGCGGCACTTGGCAAATTATACGGAATAGGTACTAGTGAGTGGCTGCCCTTTTCCGGTGCCAATATCCTAGATATAGTAAAATAACACCTCGACTATTTTCTTTATAACATCTCAACGATAGATTATGTTGATTGAAATTTAATCTAGGGGAACATATTAAAAATTCGCAAAAATTGAAAACGATTCATTAATATCAAGACCTTACAAAACGTTGTTTTGTCTAAAATTAAAATAGATATTCAACTCACCAAACATTTTGCATCCGCCACTTTTATCCGATTTTATCTGGCAATTTATTTATTTGTCTTCTGTAGTGTATCATCCCCTGTGCGCTCTTTTTAAACACCGTGTTTGCAATATATGGCATAGTTTTTTTTACAATAAAAAACAAAATGTAAAAATAACAATAACAAATAACAAATTAATAACCGTTT